GTCCCAAATGACACAGCAGATCTATTCCAACTCCTAAAATTGCAACCCGAACCCGATATCAACTGTCACACCTCCTTTTTTCATTATACCCCCCCCCCCCCTGGAAGGGGTATAATAAAGGGAGTTATTTCCAACTTGAAGTGACAATCGAAACGGGATTTATTGTAAAAAGATTCAGAGTCGCCACTTGGGAGATTTATGGTGTCCCAAGTCACCGATTTGAATCCCGAATCGAGGAAAGGGTTTGACTCTGTATTACAGTCGCGAACCAGAAATCCGAGTAAGGAATTCTGTTAACCCGGGAGAAGGTGTTAGGCATTCCCGGGTTTCGTGGTTCTAGCACGGTCGCTCAACTGTCATATTCGGCTTAATTATCTGATTTTAAACAATTATGAATATATGTGCAAATTTTTAACTTTTAACCGCTTTTATATTTTTTTTAAAGCGAATTGCAACGTCGTTAAAACACGTCTCGAACCACGTCACATAAAAGCACCCGCGATCTTTGACATATTTCAACTTCGTTGCGATTTGGATTTGGGTCACATAAATGCGCACCCGAGTTTAGGAAGGTAATATTATTAACTAACGTGCCTAAAGCAATTTCCATTTGTAGTTTGCGAGGGCCATGGAATTTGCTAAATGGCACGCCTCGAGTCCTAAGGATAAAATATCAATTAAATGAAGGCAATGGGTTACTTAATGTATTCTTGATGGCAGCTTCACATCTTCAAAGAATTACAATTCAGAAACAAAACAAATTTGAAATCGAAGAGAGCACCAATGACGTCGGCACTATAGTTTGTGAATCTAAAATAGCAGAAATGGTATTGAAAATTAAAAGAAGCAAAATCACTTATCATGCTTGGGAGCTAGTCCGTTTTAATATTAGCCTGAATTGGTAACAAAGAATGAGGTCTACACGGATTAATCGATAATGCAAATTGGTACACTTAACTAACCAAGAACGAAAGAAGCTAAAATTGTTTTTCTTATTACTCCTTTCTCTGTTCGTAGCTCTCTACTCCATCTGTGTGTGTATTACTGTTTCCGGCGAGTTCGTCGCTGGAAGAAGAAGGGGTCAGGGTGGTCGTGCGGTTCAAGCCATGGCCGCTGGTAGAGCACTTGAGCTGAAGGAGAAAGGGGTCGTTTGGAGGAGATCAAGCTTGAGATTCTGGGCGTTGGGTCCTTTTTGGTTCTGTTCTCAGCTGGTTTTTCAAATCGAAGAGGAAGGTGCAGAACAATCAGGACCTCTGTTTTCAGAAGCTGCCCCCCACTTTTCTTCAGAAAATTGTCCCCAGGCCCCTTTTTTCTCCAAAAAATCCTGCTCTCTGCCTTTGTGATTATATATGGAGAGTTGCTTGGAGGAAAAGTTGTGCAGTTATTATGTGTGGTTGGATATGGACGGCATGTGCAGTATGTGAGTGTGTGGAAAATTGTGTTAAGATAATAACAAAAAAGATTCCTTCCATGTATTATGTGTATAGATAAAAGCAGATTGTGAATGTAATTTAGTAAGATGTGTAAATTGTGCATCTGAGTTTGTTAGAATGGATAACGTGGTGGGTCTACATTTTTCATTTGATTTTCCTTTGCATTTTTGCTTTTCACGTTCCTCTCTTCTTTTGCCTCTTTTCCTTTTCCTTGTTTGTTTTTTTTCATTTTTCATCATTTTATTTTTTTTAATTCTAAAAATGAATCTAAATACTAGTTTTATCTAAAATAATAAGGAATAATTAAATGAAAGACAAGATGGTCATATTAAAGGAATCTAAATACTACTCAATATTTACTAAATATGTACAACTTAAAATCACACTAAGCTAAGTAAAAATATTTTTCTTAACTTCTCTTTTTATCTTTTGTAAAAATATCAATAAGCTAAAATAAAAGGAAATATTTTGTAGTTTTTTTTTTAATTTTCAAGATTGAATAAAGCAAAAAGAAAGAGAGAAAAAAAAAATTAAAAATAGCATTATTAGGCCTAAAACCAACATCTAAGCACTAAAAGGTATAAAATTTCGGGGAGGGTCAAAAATTACATGTCTACATCAACAAAGTCAACTCTCGGTCAAATCTCACAACCTTCCAAACCTTCAACGTTCCAACTTCTGCCAAAATGCATCAAATCAACCTACAGATCTCCAAATCAAAATTCGGGCATACGCCTAAGTTTAAAATCACAATACGAAGCTATTGGAATCATCAAAATACCATTTCGGAGTCATCTACACAAAAAGTCAAACTCCAATTAACTCTTGCTACTTAAGATTCTAAAACAAGAATCATTCTTCCATATCAATCCCGAATCATCCAATAATCGAACCCGGATACACAATACGAAGCTACTTGAGACCTTAAATCACCGAACGAGACACTAATTCTCAAAACGACTTGTCAAATTGTTATATTATTGAAAATGAAAATCATTATCATTATCATTATTATTATAACATCAGACTATTTTGAATTGAATATGGTTTTTTATTAAAATACATTTACCAAACAACCAATCAGAAGCCAAGCACGAAAAAAATACAAGCCAAGAACTACGATTTATTATACCTCTAAAGGGTTATCGTCAGGGGCGGACCCACCTTGTAGGAAGAGGGTTCAGTTGAGCCCACTTCGCTGGAAAAATTAAAATGGTGGAGCAGTGGCAAGCGGGATCAATGTAATGCTTGTGGTCGCAAGATCGAAACTCTGCTAAAGTAGCGAACCAAATAGTTCCTTTTTGCTAAACGTATATATTATTGTTCTTATTGTTAGGCCTTGTTGTTTCCTATTTTGTCTTTATTTTCCTACTTCTCTTTGTGATTTTTTTCCTTTATTTAAATCCAATAATAGCTATTCTTATTAAACTCTTCCATTTCACTTCAAAAGAGTTAATCCTTTCAACAAAGTGAATTTTGGTTCTTTTTTCATAATTTTTGCTAAAAAAATGGGAGTATCGAAATTGCTTGTAATTTTTTAATTTAATTTAGTTTAGTTTATATTGAAATTGTTAATTTGTGTTATGCTAAAAAAAAACTAGTTTGTTCTAAAATATATTTTTCTTTAATAATTTTTATAAATTAGTTTAGTTTATCACTCTTTTTTCCGTGTTTTTTTGTTTGTAATAACTTTGTACATTAAATTTCTTAGAGTTATAGTACGATTTTAAAGTTGGTTAAATACTTTTTTGTTAAAAAATTGCTACATTTGCTGCAAAAAATTTCTTAATGTATGTAGATACATTTTTTTTTTAAAAAAATAAAGGACCAACTTATTTTTTTTAAACAAAAAAAATTGCGACCTTTTTTCTTAAATAAATGATTTCATTTTGAAGTCATCTGATGAACAAAAAAAAGAACAATGTATAATTTTTACTTACCGCTTTGCTTATACATTCGACTATCGAATCTTTGACTGAATTCGTTTATATAAAATCCTTGGTCTGCCGCTGGTTATGGTTAGGACCGATGAGAACCTCATGAAAACTTATATAGTAGTATATATAATTCATAAGGCTCGTGAAAAAAATATAGTAGTAGTAATGATAAAAGAACCCGACTTTCACCGAGACTTCCTTTCCACGTTTTGTTTTTTCCTTCCATTTTGTCGATTCTAGAGTAACGTAGAGAAGGGAACAAGAGACAAAGAAGAGGATACATTTACAAAGATGAATCCACAATCAATTATATCAATAATAGCCACTCCGTTGTGCAGTCACACTCAATGTTGCATTCATGCAAGACAGGCAATCAATATTTCAATAGCCGAATAGGGTAGTCAATAAAAAAATCTTCTTTAAAAAGGGGAGAGGTGCCAGCTCACACCTTTCACTAGAACAAAAATAAGGTCTATCACTCCCACCATCAAAAGAAACCAAAAAACATCCATATTTTGTGCATATAGACACACAAAAAAAAAACACTTTGACATTTTTCTTTCAATATTTTTGTGCCTCTATATTAAATGCTACGAAATCAATACAATATTTTCTTCACGACAAGAAATGTAAGATGGAAATCAGGAGGTCTGGAGAGGAGGCAAAAAAATGTTTGGTTGCAGAAAACAGTCCATGACAATGATATTTAAAATACCTGTATTATTAAATAAAATAAAACCAAACGAGTTGACAGGCCAGTGCTGATTCTGAAAGATTGGCCTGCGGCGTCCCTTCCTCTTAATCAAGCGCAAAACAAAACACTTGGATTCTCTTTGTCCCATTCCTCCTCGTGAGTCAGGAGTCAGGACATAGATATATTATTTCCAATTCCACCGCTAAATGCCCATTTTGAACGCCCTAACAACAAAACAAGAACAGGCCGAAAAGAAGTGGGAAAAAGCTGAAGATGAAGATAAAAGAATAGTACTCGCTCCGTTTCAGTTTACGTGAACCTATTTTTTTTTTTTTTGTCAGTTCCAAAAAGAAAGATCCCTTTTTAAATTTGGAAACAATTTAGCTTAAACTTACAATTCTACCTTAATGAAAAAATTTTATAACCACACAAATACTCTCGACCCCTTTCTGACATGTTTAGGACCATAAATTCCAAAAACATTCATTTTTACTTAAACTTCGTGTCCAGTCAAAAAGGTTCACATCAATTGAAACATAGGGAATAATAGTATTATCCTCTCTGTCCTTTTTATAGTATTTAGTATAATAATTTAATTTTAAATTTTTTATTTTATCTTTAATGAGATGATTTGCAACCACACAAATACTAGTGACTCTTTCTTTGTTTCTTAAGCTCCATGACCAATCAAAAGACATCATATAAATTGGGATGAAGGGGGTAATATGTTCCTCTCTGACTAATAAACATACTCTATCTGTCCCAGTTTATGTGAACCTATTTCCTTAATTTGGTCCGTTCCAAAAAGAATGGCCCTTTCTAAATTTGGAAATAATTTAACATAAATTTACAATTCTATCCTTAATGAGAAGCTTTTATAACCACACAAATACTATTTTTTCTTAAACTCTGTGCCCAGTCAAACAGGTTCACATAAATTGGAACGGATGCACTAATACTTACTCCATAATATAATACAAAATCATGATCATCAGAATTTGCATTGCATTCCCACTTCGTTTCATATGGATCATAGATATTTTTATCTATCTAGAAGAAAAAGAAAAGGAGAAGAGACAAAAGATGTAGTAATGGTGGAGAGAATGGAGAGAAATTTAGCTTAATATTCATGATGAGAATGGTGGTACATTGATGATGGGTCAAAGCCACTGTGCCGATTCTGTTTGTTGTTGTGGCTGCTATCATTATCTCCCTCGTTCATTTTACACCCCATTTGATGAGGAGCTGAAGAAGTTGCACCAAGATTTAAATACACCATTCTTGAATCCAAGTTCAGGTTTCCCATATTGCTAGCATTGCTTGTGCTGTGATCTTCATTTATGGGTTGATATACTGCTGTGGAAGTTGGGTTGTTTGCATTTTCTTCCTCTCGAGAAATCACCATGGCTGCTGATTGAACAAGTTCGAGGCAAAGTCTTAGCTTATTTGGTTCAATGTGATTGAGTCCAGGGACAGCTCCTTTGAATAGAAAATCTGATGTTAGGGTTCGGAGAATATCGAGTGGAGTGATCCCATCCACCGTTCGTACATTTGGATCGGCATGGTGGTCTAATAGAACAGCCACCATGTCCGGAGACACCATTTCAGCTGCAATGTGAAGTGGGGTTTTGCCCGCTAGCCCGGCTGGGTAGTTTACATTGGCTGCACCGAGCTCGAGGAGCGCCTTAACAACTTCCCGGCTGCAATTCTCGACAGCATAATGCAAGGCAATTGATTCATCAAGATTTAGGCCTTCACCCATAACCATAAGCTTGACAAGTTCGACGTCGGATGAGTCGAGAGCTCGTCTCATTCGTCGGATTTTTTGGTCCTCGAGCTCTGAAGCCGTGCTAAGGTCGTGTTGATGGTGTTGGTGGTGGTGGTGAGGGATTAGGGATCGTCGCGCTAGGGAGGATTTGAGGCGGAGCTCTTCAATTTTTGCTACAACATCAATGGGAAGGTGCTTGGCTAAGACTTCTGCTGGAAGGCCAGATTTTGCAACTAAATGGGAACATGTAGTCCAAAGTTGGGACATGTCTTGCTTTCTTGAAGCTATCAAAACTTTCATCACATCCTCAATTGAAGCCTTTTCTACCATGCTTGTCAATTGCTTCTGCTTAAAAAATATGTAATTATAATCAATAAATATACTGTAAATTAGGAACACCAATATGTTCTACTTTTCATACATTGACATATATTTAGAAAGTTTCTTATCCAAAGACCATCAAACAACTGATGTGATTGTGTAAAATCGTGATAATCTTTTGGTGTTGGTTTTTAAACCAAATGAGGAAAGTAGATTTGATTGAGGTGTGATCACTGTTGAAAGATATGACTGCAGAAATCAAGAACCAAAATTGGAAACCTTTGAGTGTGGAACATATATAGATAAGAGGAAACCATTTCAAGAAACTCAAATCTTTTACATGAAATCAAGATAGGACTAGTGAAATGAGACATCTAGTGACAAGATTTCTGTATTTAGTATATTTAGTTTAGCTGTATCTAATCTTGAACTTTGTAGCCAAAAATAATAATAATGATAATAATAGGATCGATGATTCTGCAAAAGAAAACTAGTGACATAGAAAGAAAGAAGTATACTAGATTTATGTGAGATCAAATTTAACTACCTCTGACTGAAAAAAGTTGAATAAAAATATATCTGAAAATCTTTGGCTGAAGAAGCAACAACAAAAACTAATAGCCAACCATGGTTTGGAAAAATGAAAATTTCTAATTCCAAATCTCAGAAAGTTAGAAAAGATAAAACCTGAGTGAGCAAAGCGAGCTGTTCAACACCAAAAGATCTAGCGGCTGCGAGAGTGTCAAGTGCAAGATCAACGGCTGAGGTACAATGTGTATGCCAACAGCTTCTCTCCCCACAATTAGGCCTTGATTCATGTTTCTGTGGCACAACTGAAACTTGTCCACTGTACAAAAACTGCAACATCAACAAGAATACCTCATACCCTACTGAGTTTACAGGTATTACCTGTAAACCACCTGTACCCCGCGGGCTGATGACGCCCGCGGAACTCATTCTTGAGCTTAATGGTTCCGGGCCGCCACCAGGCGACTCGGGCCCACAAAAGAATTTCCTGAAAACAAGACTCCTAGCAGCTAAGATACATTTGTGAGCATGAACCAGACGACCTTCAACACTGAAAGTAACATCACTGAAAGCTTGACCGTTGATGAGAAGGTTGAGATAATCCAAAGAGAGAGATCTTAAGGAATCTTCAAGAGTCATATTCTGGGAAGTAACAACCTTATTCTAGTTCTAGAGTTTGAAGTAAGAGCAGTTCTCCTCTCTCTATAGCTTAAACAGTAGAGAGGAAAAAGATATACTGTATATGTTAAGAAGAGGTACACTTTGAAGGTTAACAGGAGAATAAGAGAAGAGAGTAAAAGCTCGGTGGCTTTACTTCATTTAGTGGAAGATTGTTCTTTCTTTGGTTATTTCAACTATTAGATGATGAAAGTAGTCATTTCTTGTGCGAATCGATGGAGTTTCTGTGTGCTATGTGGATACATTTTTTGAGAGAGGTGGTGGATGGGTTTGGGGGGAGGGGGGGGAATATTTGATACACCGGTAATATTGTATTATCGATATAATTTAACATGTTATAATAGATTACTTATTATTTAATTTAAATATCCAATTAGATAGAATTACCTATATTGTTTTTTAACAAATCTAGTTGTGTAAAAAAATTATGTTATTGCATAGAACAAAGTACACGGATAAAAGAAATATTCCCTTTGTCACAATTAATGTTAAGGTGTTTGACTAGGTATAAAGTTTAACAAATAAGGAAATTAAAGACTTTCGAAATTTGTGGTCTATAATAAACGATAGAAGTTTATGTAACTAGAAATTATCTCATTAAGTGTAACAAAGTGAAATTTAAAATTGAAGTGTTACTAAATGTAAAATGTGTTATTCATTTTGGAACCGATTAAAAGAAGAAAGTGTCATATAAATTGAGATGGAGCGGTATAAACTTCATTGAAAGATTAAATGGACGAGAATTAATTAATCTCATTTCTTGTTTGTTTTTACTCCCTCCGTTTCAATTTAGATGATACACTTTTCTTATTTGTCCGTTCCAAAAAGAATGACACATTTCTATAATTAGAAATAATTCAACTTTAAACGTTTTATTTTACCTATGTTACCCTTAATGAGAAGTTTTTAGAACTATACAAATATCATGACCCCACAAAGTTTTTACTCCTTAATTTTGAAACCACATATTTGAAAAATTTCCCTCCTTTCTCTTATACTCCGTGTCGAGTGAAATTACCTCGTTTAAATGGAAACGGAAGGAGTAATTATTTATGGAGTAATACTCCATCTGTTTCACTTTATATCTACCTATTTCCTTTTTGGTATGTTCCAAAAGAATGACCCCTTTCTAAATTTGGAAACTATTTCGCTTAAACTTTCAATTCTACCCTTAATCAGAAGCTTTTATAATCACATAAATACTCTGGACCCCTTTTTGACTTGTTTAGGACTCACAAATTCCAAAAATCTTTATTTTTTCTTAAACTCCATCCAAGTAGTTGTTTCATAGGGGGATAGAGAGGGAGATGTTCATGTATGGTTGCCCAATTAAAGGAGCAGAGATCTTTCTTGGGGAAGGTGTTTAAGGAAAAGATTAAAGAAACAGTAAAGAGCTCTTACATGCAGTTAGGCGTGGAGATGCTATAGTTAGTGATCTTGTGAGTTAAAAAGAGTCCTTGGAAAATGTAGTGTATTTAAAATTACTCACTGCTAACTAGCTAGCTACTAGGTTTTTTCTTTCTTTTTCTTTTAGGTTATAGCTAGCTTATCTACTAGGTTGTTCATGCATTAAGAGGTGCTATAAATTTATACCATCTTTTCTCTGTTACAACCTTCCCTTTGTCTACTAGTACACCGGAGGTGACTCATATATCTCTGCACTAAATGTTATTCTTTTATATTGGTTCCAGTACTATGAATTTCTTAGGTTAGTTAATTTAGAGAGACTTGTAAATTTAATTTTTTGTTTTTAATTATGTACTCCATCTGATTCATTTTACGTGATAATTTTTTTTCCTTTTAGTTAGTACTTAGTAGGCGTTTGGACATAAGAATTGTAATATTTCAAAAAATGGTGAAAAAATTTTCAAGTGAAATGTATTTGAAATTTAGAGTTGTGTTTGGACATAAATTTCAGTTTGGGTTGTTTTTGAAGTTTTATGACTGATTTGAGTGAAAATTTTGAAAAACAGCTTGAGTATTTTAAATTTTCGAAAATTTCCAAAATGCATATTCAAATGAAAATTGAAAATTTTATGAACAAACGCTGATTTCGAAAAAAAGTGAATTTTTTTTGGAAAAAAGGAAAAATAAATTTATGTCCAAACGGGCTCTTAATAGTTCGAGATTGTAGTGTGAGACTAGACAAATAATAAGAGTAGTTGTGCTTTTTGGAGAGTTATTCACAAGTAATGAGGTATTATGTTTATACCTTGTTTGGTTGGACGTATAAATTTATCCCGGGATAATTCATACCTCCAACCAAACAAGATATAAATTTAATACCAAATCTTATCCCACCTAATACCTCATACCACTGAGTTCTTTTTTGTTTCGGTTAAAAAAGGCTACTTGCCTTCAACTGCACTAGGGGGTTGCATATTTTTTTTTAGTGTCAATAAAGTGCATGTGTTATTTGTTGATAAAATTACAAGTTTAATTTTGTCCTTGAATATCTTTTTTTCTTCTTTTTTAGAAAATTCGAGGCACACTGGTTATCCAATTAAAGTTTAAACCGAAAAGATCTTCTATAGAATTTTTAACATTATTTACGTGTTAGAAAAATATACTTGTCCCTCATCGAATGTGTAAGGTTTCCAAAGAGATTTATAAAGTCCTAAGCTACTCAACTTATTTCCTTAAATTTTGGTTCAATGCTCAAATTCTTTCGCATCGCATTAGAGTAAAACATTGATAAGCCATTTTAACAATCGTATGCTCTCTGTCGTATTGCTCTAGTTTCTCTCTCAACTCATCCAATCTAGCCGCTCTATGCTTATTCTCTCTCAATTGAGCCTGCTACTTGACAGGTATATAATTTATCAATCATCGGTTATATATTATGTAGGGTAAAATCGGTTTATATTAAATATTCTAACGACAATGTGACACGTGGTATCGGAGGCAGGCGGAAGATGAAGCCGGTGAAAACCAAAACCGAGGACAACAGCTTCAGGGGAACATAATCAACGGGAGTAAACGAATATTTGTCACCGGATGATATTTAATGAAGAATATTCTTCAGTATTAAATACACAACCGCTGCAGAGAATTTTGGCATTCATGGCCTGCCATTACATATTCATCAATAGCCCACATTATTGTCATATAAAAGGGGCTTGATCCTAGGACCTTGTTCCTTAAGTATAACTATAAATAGTGACTTCAACAATCATTGTAACACACGAAAATTCTGACAAACTTATGCAACACACTATTCCCAAGCTAAATAATACTTTATTTTCTGTCTAACGTTATTCTTATTGCTGCCTTCGGAAGCCTTGCTCCTAGAACCAAGCTATCTGGTATTTATCTTGATTTCAACGCTAAGTCTTATATTCTTATTTAATTTATTTATTATTTTTGGATCAAATCAGTTCGTTTGTCTATAAACCACATAACAAATTCAACTGTACTATTTTAAGGGTAAACAGTTTGGCGCCCACCGTAGGACTTAGACAAATGTGTAATTGAGTTGATCCTTGCATCTATTACTAACATGTTTGATTCTTTGTTTCATAGCAAAAATTTAAAAAAAATGGCTGCTAATGATGTCAACATCACACACAACATTGGGGCGCAAGAAAATCTGCCTCAATATGAGGATTTGATCAGTAATACCCGCAACAAGGAGGACGTAGCAACTCCGGCCCATGGCGGGTATTATCCTTGACATGCACGGTAGACAACTCCTGATGACGCTGAGGACGAGAATGTTTCAGAAACATTAAGGATCTTAAGGGAGCAGCAAAAGGCCATCATGGGTCATCTCTCAAGGCAAGACCAGTCCATGACGGAATTAAGGGAAGCATTATCAGGTGCTTCCAACAATGCGAATGGAGAGGCCCTATTTCTCCCGGCGCTCCCGCAAATCAAACAGCTCAAAGGGTTGAGAATAATACCCCGAAGGGAGAGGTTGGCTTCAACGGAACTTGGGGGATTGGCAACGAATCTGGTAACAACAACAAAAATAATCCCTTCAAAACCGAACTCATGAGATTCATGAAGGAAATGAATGAGTGGATGGATCAGAACGCGAAAGACTTCCACACTCACATGTACCGAATTCCGGGCGAACCACCAGAGTTGAAGGGCCCGAATTCGAAGAAGTACACCCAATTGCCGTTCAAACCAAGCGCAGCACCAGAATTGATTCCAAAATGGTTCAAAATGCCGGACATATTGAAGTATGATGGGACTTTGGACCCTTAGGGGAACATCACAACTTATACAACGACGGTGAAAGGAAACGACTTGGCCCAACACGAGATTGAGTCGGTCCTACTGAAGAAATTCAGGGAACCCTCACGAGGGGGGGCCTTGACAGGGTATTCACTTTTACCCAAACACTCAATTGATTCATTCGAAATACTCGCAGATTCTTTCATCAAGGCTCATGCTGGGGCCAAGAAGGTCTAGGCCCGGAAGGTAGACATATTATGAATTTCACAAGGAGAGTTCAGTTTGTTGCGCGAGTTCGTGATCCGGCTTCAAAAGGAAAGGAAGTTGTTACCGGTCGTGGTAGATGAATGGGCAGTTGAGGCATTTACTAAGGGCTAGAACCCGAGTAGACCCGGCGCTTTCCAAAAGCTGAAAGAAAGCTTGCTCAAGTTCCAAGCAATCACATGGGCGGATGTTCATAACCGCTACAAATCAAAGATAAGGATAGAAGATGATCGGATCGAGTTCTCGGCATCAGCCAAAGGTCGGGATTGAGAAAAGAATAGGGATAAATCAAAAGATGATTTTGATGCAGATCGGTGATCTTCTTAGGGTCATTTCTTGCCTTTTGAGACGACCAAAGGACACAACAACAAGAGATTCTGGTCGGTAGATAGGTTCACCGTTGATAGAAGGGTTTACCGCGGCTAGAACAACAGGTCGTTGCAGGACAAAGATGTATCGAGTTCCCAGGATTCCACTTATCCCAGGTTGTCCGGGTATAATTTCAATGTCAGTGTAATGGAGCTGGTATTGGCGATGAGAAACATCAAAGAAGCATGGTTCACGAGGCCGATGAGATCCAATCCCAGCTAGAGAGATCCTAATTTATGGTGCGAATATCATAGGACTAAAGGCCACCAAACCGGGGACTGCCAACATCTGCACGAGGAGATGGCAACGCTGTTAAAGAACGTCCATCTCATGGAATTCGTAAGCGACCAGGCTAAGAACAATTATGGCCACAACCGTGACAATGCAAAGCCCTCAAAGATAGGGGAAGACTCTCCTCGACTAACTATCAACGTGATCGGTGTAACCTTCTTGG